TGAATGTGAGTGTGGCCTTGAGCATGGGTGGGGTGTTATACCCAATTAGTTAATCTGTGTGCCCATCACCACGCTGAGTGTGCCTAAAAGTTCAGATTTGGGGAACTTCTGCTTTAAAACAAAAACAACAAACCAAGAAAGCCTATGATTTGAGCCTAAGCAACAGACTGCTTTTTATTCATCTCTCCCTCTTAGTGATTCAGCCTGATTGTGGTGTCTGTGAACTCTGCTGTCATCTATAGAATATATTCTTTTATCTCTGTTTTCAAGCTCAATTTTCTTATGAAAATTGCAGTTCATTTTCTTTCTGTTTATAGAACAGACCTCCCCCCATATGTCTTATATAACATTATTTAAAATGTTTCTGTTAAAACAAAAAAAGTAGGGGAAGAAGTCAGAATTTGAAATGTTGGCTAATCATGCTTATTTGTATTTCTTTCAAATCGAAAACTCTGTTATACCAAATTTTGAAGTTGGATGTGTTTCCCAGAATGGAATAAATCCATTTGACCATTAGTGATATGACAGTTACTAAATAAAAATCACGTAATTGTATAATCAATTACTGTCATATACGTTATACATATTGATAAATGTATAGGGGCTTTGTAACTGAAATTATGTTCCTAGTCTTTGTCATAATAGGTTAGAAAGCTGTAATGATGGGGACTGTTAATAATTACATGGTGAATGCTGTGTAACCAAGAATTAATTCCACAGCTTATAGATTACATGTAATTTACTAGATAACTTAATGAGTAATTATAGTGGAAATTGTACATTTTAGATAAAGTTTTGCTGAATGTATTTTTGTGTGTGAAAAAATTATACTACTAGCCCTCAAAAACATACTTCCAGTTTAAATCATTCTCTTTTCCATGAGCCTGTATTAGTATTAACATGATTGTGGATACAGTTATTTTTTGTACTTAGAGATCTCTTTTTGCTTATTCTTGAAGACGTGGTTGGTAATAAGTTTTATGTAGGCTGCTGCTCTTTCACTACAGTCCACCTCTATCAAATATAAACTGACCAATGACTATGTACATGAGGAAAAAAGAGACACTATTGTTAATTTTCCAACTATGAAAAAGAAAGAGAAGTCCAAAAGGGGGCTAAAATACTTAGTTCTTTTTCTTAAAGGATTATCTAGTAATAATTAAAATTTGGAAGAATTTAGAATATAATAATTGGCAATGTTTGTTCCTTTGAGAAGTTGTGTGGTTAGGAATTGGTACATTGTTATTAGAATTCCACTCCAGTGAGTTAATGTTTCTATTTGACTACATTGATACCTGTTTCAGATATAACAAGAGGTAATTATAATTTATACTATTCTTTTAAATGAGTTTTATGTAGATTTTCTTTTACTATTTTATTTTATTTTGTTTTTTATTGAATCATAATTGATTACACATATTTTGGGGGTTCGATGTTGACATGTGTTGATCAAATCAATATTACTAGTATGTGTATTGTTAAAAGTTGTACTTATTCTTAAGCTCCTTGTTCAATCTCTCCCTATCCCTCTCTCCTTTCCTCCTCCCACCACTGATAACTCCAGATTTCTTCTCTCCCTCTGAAAGAGTAATCGTTACTCTGTTGATTTGTTGCCTAGATGATCTTTCTAATGTTGAGAGGTGTGTTCAGGTCCCCTAACATTATCATAGAGCA